GCTTCCGGTACGGATCGGGTAATGACAGTCATTACAGGAAGTAACACTCTTACTCCTGGATGATGTCATTACAGGAAGTAACAGACTCCTTTATGATGTCATTACAGGAAGTAACACTCTTACTCCTGGATGATGTCATTACAGGAAGTAACAGACTCCTTTATGATGTCATTACAGGAAGTAACACTCTTACTCCTGGATGATGTCATTACAGGAAGTAACACTCTTACTCCTGGATGATGTCATTACAGGAAGTAACACTCTTACTCCTGGATGAAGTCATTACAGGAAGTAACATACTCCTTGATGATGTCATTACAGGAAGTAACATTCTTACTCCTGGATGATGTCATTACAGAAAGTAACACTCCTACTCCTGAATGGTGTAATTTCAGGAAGTAACAGACTCATTGACGATGTCATTACTGAAAGTAATGCTCTGACTCTTGGACGATGTCATTAAAGTGAAGTAACGGTCAGACTCCTGGATGATGTCATTGCAGGTAATAATGAATGGATAATCTGAGAGCTGAATTATATATTTACACAAGTAACACACCGACTCCTAGATGATGTCATCAAAGTCTCCTGGACTATTTTTTTAGAAAGTAACAAGCTGACACCTAGATGATCACAGGAAGTTACTAAATGACTGATGGACAATGTCATCAAATAAATGATGTCAGCGCACAAAGCACAACAGCAAGCTAAAAGAAGAAGAGATTCATCTGGTTACCTTAGCAACCACTAATAGTTACTAAGCAATGCAGCAGCTGCTGAAAGAGACAGAATAATAAATTAACCAACAAGAATTTGATAGAGAGATTACAAATGAAACAAGTAATACGTTTTTATCCTTAAAATAAATTATATAAAATCAAAAGTAAGTTTTATAACTTTCTATTTTGTACATTTTAGACTTTACTGAGTCACTGAATGAGAACAGATTAACAGAAACCTTTATTCACAGCTGTCTGAAGTGTAACTCACCCCAAAATCTACTTTTTCCCCCCAAATAAACTGTATTAACTTGGTCTGTGGGGTGGTATTATATCACTGTTTATTTTTTTCTCATTTTCATGTAAACATCTTTAATTCCACAATATTCAACTTAAAATATCTTAGTGCTGATCTCTTAGGGCTATTGCAGCTGAATTTGACTATCCAGTCAAACTGTACAATCTTACATCATAATATCCAGTGTTTGGGTTCAAAAGCATCTTACTCAAACAGACGTAGTGCATCATCCTGTCCTCCACTACCAAAGCAGCACAAACATCAGGCATTGCTGAGTTAGTGACTTGAACAACGGTTCAAACTGATAAGGCCCTGGTCAACTGGACCGGCCCTTCAGTAACCAGTTCTTATAATTAGAATAAATGAATTAGAACGAAGGTTTTACAGGTCAAAAGCCTCTCCTGACCTCCTTTGGTGGTGGGAGTGAAAATCATCCCCCTTAAAATATCCATTTGTGGTGTGACTACCAGCATTCCTCTGCTAACTCTCCTGCAATAATTTAAACTGAGTCAGATGCTACTTTACCTCATCCTGACCACCCTTCATTAAGCCCTGCCCCCCAGCGGGTTTTGGCACTTACCACTTGTGTGGCTTTTTTTTTTTTTTTTATTTGTCTGGGGGCGGGGTTATGCATATAAATCATGGTGAGTTACACTTTAACTATTTTATTCCAGTCTGAAAGGAACAGCACCTCCTGGGCCACAAATAAAATCAAGTCCCCACTTAATGACCCCCAAACACGAAATACCTGAACAGGTGTGAGGCCTCTGCAGGCAGTTATGTTTATTACACCTCTGACATGAGGGCAGCAATTCAGTTTAGAGGTTGTTGAACTGCATTGGGCCTGCTTTGGGTAGAGCATAACAACTAACCAGCTCAATTAACAACAAGGTTAACCAACTAATGAAATAAAAGAAGAATGAAACTATTTCAGGTGTGGTTTATGTCAGTAGAGGTAACTGTTTCAGTTCCTGTAGTAGTCTAGTGCTAGGATTATTCGGTGGGTTAGCGCCACCTTAGTCGGACCACTCCTGGTCCTCCGGTTCAGACTCCTCCTCTGATTCGCTGTACTCCACAGCGATGCGGCGTGACAATATCGTAGCCACATCGTTTCCTGAAGGTTCTCTTTTCTTGGCCTCTTCCTGCTCACGCTGCTCCTGAACCTTCCTCAACTGGATCCCTACAGACCAGAAGACACCAGAAAATGTATGTTTTTTTTATATACATTACATCCGTCTGAAACTGAGCTGCTCCCCCTTTGGGTGCAACCTGAGAACATATCTACACTTACCTCTACAGCTGTATTGTAGTTTCACAGACCTCTCTGCAGCTTCTCTGCTACGCTACACACCCATTACTCTATTCAGACATTGTCTTTTCAATGGCTAAAAACATATAAAATAAAATCTACAACCAACCTTAGTCCTGAAAAACTCATATAACGGATTTAAAGGAATAGTACACCCAAAACATGATTAGCCTTCATTTTCTACTCACCCCCATGCTGA